ACACAACATTCAAGCTTGATACAGCTCTGAATTTGGATTGTGATTAAATATTTGACACAGCATAGGTTTCTGACACAGAAAGAATGTGGTCTAAGAACTTCAATTTTTTTAATTTACCTATTATGGTCCAATGTCCAAAATCAAAATACATGGTTAGATTCAGCATATCAAAGAACCCCATATATTCAATTTTTGTTGAAATCAAACAAAGTTTAATTTTGGACCCCAACTTGGACAAACTTGAAAACTGGTCCCATAATCAAAAATCTAAACACATGTTTAGATTCAGCATATCAAAGTACCCCAAGAATTCAATTTTTGTTAAAATCAAACTAAGTTTAATTTTGGACCCTTTGGACCTTAATGTAGACCAATTTAAAAAACGGGACCCAAAATTAAAAATCTAAAAACACGGTTAGATTTGGCATATCAAAGAACCCCAATAATTCAATTTTTGATGAAATCAAACAAAGTTTAATTTTGGACCCTTTTGACCTCAATATGAACCAATTTGATAGCAGGCCCACAAAATAAAAAATCTAAATACATGGTAAGATTCAGCATATCAAAGAACCCCAAGAATTCAATTTTTGTTGAAATCAAACAAAGTTTAATTTTGGACCCCAATTTGGACCAACTTGAAAACTGGACCAAAAATCTAAAATCTAAATACATGTTTAGATTCAGCATATCAAAGAACCCCATATATTCAATTTTTGTTGAAATCAAACAAAGTTTAATTTTGGACCCCAACTTGGACAAACTTGAAAACTGGTCCCATAATCAAAAATCTAAACACATGTTTAGATTCAGCATATCAAAGAACCCCAAGAATTCAATTTTTGTTAAAATCAAACTAAGTTTAATTTTGGACCCTTTGGACCTTAATGTAGACCAATTTAAAAAACGGGACCCAAAATTAAAAATCTAAATACACGGTTAGATTTGGCATATCAAAGAACACCAATAATTCAATTTTTGATGAAATCAAACAAAGTTTAATTTTGGACCCTTTTGACCTCAATATGAACCAATTTGATAGCGGGCCCACAAATAAAAAATCTAAATACATGGTAAGATTCAGCATATCAAAGAACCCCATATATTCAATTTTTGTTGAAATCAAACAAAGTTTAATTTTGGACCCCAATTTGGACCAACTTGAAAACTGGGCCAAAAATCTAAAATCTAAATACATGTTTAGATTCAGCATATCAAAGAACCCCATATATTCAATTTTTGTTGAAATCAAACAAAGTTTAATTTTGGACCCCAACTTGGACCAACTTGAAAACTGGGCCCATAATCAAAAATCTAAACACATGTTTAGATTCAGCATATCAAAGAACCCCAAGAATTCAATTTTTGTTAAAATCAAACTAAGTTTAATTTTGGACCCTTTGGACCTTAATGTAGACCAATTTAAAAACGGGACCCAAAATTAAAAATCTAAATACACGGTTAGATTTGGCATATCAAAGAACCCCAATAATTCAATTTTTGATGAAATCAAACAAAGTTTAATTTTGGACCCTTTTGACCTCAATATGAACCAATTTGATAGCGGGTCCACAAATAAAAAATCTAAATACATGGTTAGATTCAGCATATCAAAGAACTCCAAGAATTCAATTTTTGATGAAATCAAACAAAGTTTAATTTTGGACCCTTTTGACCTCAATGTGGACAAAGTTGATAACGGGGCCCAAAAATCAAAAATCTAAATACATGGTTAGATTCAGCATATCAAAGAACCCCATATATTCAATTTTTGTTGAAATCAAACAAAGTTTAATTTTGGATCCCGATTTGGACCAACTTGAAAACTGGGCCCATAATCAAAAATCTAACTACATGTTTAGATTCAGCATATCAAAGTACCCTAAAAATTCAATTTTTGTTAAAATCAAACTAAGTTTAATTTTGGACCCTTTTGACCTTAATGTAGACCAATTTGAAAACAGAACCAAAAATTAAGAATCTAAATACACGGTTAGATTCGGCATATCAAAGAACCCCAATAATTCAATTTTTGATGAAATCAAACAAAGTTAAATTTTGGACCCTTTGGACCTCAATGTGGACCAATTTAAAAACGGGGCCCAAAATCCAAAAACTTAATACACGGTTAGATTCAGCATATTAAAGAACCCCAAGAATTCAAGAATAAAACCCCATTGAAATTGATCAAGAAATAAGCAATTTATACGAAGTATCTTCTTTTGCACAATACTGTGCAATTGAATATTTCTTGCTATTGTGCAATACTGTACAATTGACAATTTCTTGCTATTGCGCAATATTGTGCTATTGGATATTTCTTGCTATTGCGCAATACTGTGCAATTGAAGATTTCTTGCTATTGCGCAATACTGTGCAATTGAAGATTTCTTGCAATTGTGCAATACTGTGCAATTGAAAATTTCTTGCTATTGCACAATACTTATTATATAATAATTTACACATCCTGTTTGGTGTGTATCTCCTACCATATCATTATTATTTGCTTTTAAATATTAATCAGAAATAACCAACTTAAAATGGAAAATTTTAAAAGAAAAAAAAAAGGAAAAAAAGAAAAAAAAAGAAAAAAAAAAATCCCCCCCCCCCCAAATTTTTTGAACCCCCTTATGATTCATCACCCCCAAACTCAATCCCAGCCTTCCCTTTGTGGTATGGTACCTTGCAGTACAATTTCAGAGAGATCCATACACTTGAACACAAGTTATTGTCTGGAAACTAGAAAAATGCTTATTTTTGGCCCCTTTTTGGCCCCCAATTCCTAAACGTTTCGGGCAATTACCCCCAAACTCAATTCCAGCTTTCCCTTAGTGATATGGAACCTTGTAGTACAATTTCAGAAATATCCAAACACTTACACACAAGTTATTGTCATGAAACTAGAAAAATGCTTGTTTTTTGCCCCTTTTTTGGCCCCTAATTCCTAAAATTTTGAGGCAATTACCCCCAAAATCAATTACAGCCTTCCCTTTGTGATATGGAACCTTGTGGTACAATGTCAGAGAGATCCATACACTTACACACAAGTTATTGTCTGGAAGTTACAAAAATGCTTATTTTTGGCCCCTTTTTGGCCCCTAATTCCTTAACTGTTGGTACCATAACCCCCAAAATCAATCCCCACCTTCCTTTCGTGGTATTGAACCTTATGGTAAAATTTCATGGAGATCCATTCACTTAAACTAAAGTTAGAGTGCGAAAACCAATGTGTCTTCGGACGACGACGACGACGACAACGACGACGACGCCAACGTCATACCAATATACGACCAAAAAATTTTCAATTTTTGCGGTCGTATAAAAACTGCATTTTACCCCTATGTTCTATTTTTAGCCGTGGCAGCCATCTTGGTTGGTTGACCGGGTCACGCCACACATTTTTAAAACTAGATACCCCAATGATGATTGTGGCCAAGTTTGGTTAAATTTGGCCCAGTAGTTTCAGAGGAGAAGATTTTTGTAAAAGTTTACGGACGACGGACGCAAAGTGATGAGAAAAGCTCACTTGACCTTTCAGGTCAGGTGAGCTAAAAAGGAAAAAAAGAAAAAAAATTAAAAAAAAATAAATCCCCCCCCCAAAAATTTTTTGAACCCCCATTATGATTCATCACCCCCAAACTCAATCCCAGTCTTCCCTTTGTGGTATGGTACCTTGCAGTACAATTTCAGAGAGATCCATACACTTGAACACAAGTTATTGTCTGGAAACTAGAAAAAAATGTGTTTTTTGGCCCCTTTTTGGCCCCAAATTCCTAAAAGTTTAGGGCAATTACCCCCAAACTCAAAACCCAGCTTTCCCTTTGTGATATGGAACCTTGTAGTACAATTTCAGAAAGATCCATACACTTACACACAAGTTATTGTCATGAAACTAGAAAAATTCTTGTTTTTTTGGCCCCTAATTCCTAAAATTTGGAGGCAAATACCCCCAAAATCAATCCCAGCATTCCTTTAGTGATATGGAACCTTGTGGTACAATGTCAGAGAGATCCATACACTAACACACAAGTTATGTCTGGAAGTTACAAAAATGCTTATTTTTGGCCACTAATTCCTTTACTGTTATTACCATAACCCCCAAAATCAATCCCAACCTTCCTTTTGTGGTATTGAACCTTGTGGTAAAATTTCATAAAGATCCATTTACTTAAACTAAAGTTAGAGTGCGAAAACCAATGTGTCTTTGGACGACGACGACGACGACGCCAACGTCATACCAATATACGACCACAAAAATTTTTTTGCGGTCGTATAAAAATCTATTTTGACATTTTAAAGGATTGAAAGACTTCTGGTGATACAACTCCAGGCCACTTCATCTTTATAAAATGATTAAGTGCTGGCTGTGTTTAAGATTGTTTGTGTTAATATTTCCATAAGCAGATATTACATTAGTGAGGAGTGTGTTTGATAGAAATAACTGGCAAACATATTATACATAAGCTTTATACATTGCAAATCTTCTTCTTGGCATTTATATACATACATGAAAGACACAACTTGTTCACATTGTTTAACAAAAGGATGGCATATGTCACACTGACATGGAGGAAGATTTTCCAAAGTAACGTCAATTTATCAATGTTTACAATTTCATTTTCTTATATATTTTTATTTGCTTTGAAAACAAAATCATGAGAGCACCATCTTTTGCTCCTGTGGGTATCGCTAAAAAATTCTTTACATAGACACATCACAGCTTATTGCATACCAATCATATTGATTTTAATCAATGGGTATAAAGGACATAAAAAAACCCAAACATCTGTATTATGAAATGTCTAATGTTGGTTTGAATTTTTCTTTTCATGCGTTTTGCCTAACACAATCTGTTTGGCTTCTCTAATTAGCTTGCATTGGTCAATTGCTGTCTCATTAGTTTTTAACTCACACATCTACTTGTATATTTGATCAAAAAGCCTTCAAGCTGTTTATCAATGACACCACAAAAGTGAAGTCAATAAAACATTCAACAAGAATACAATATAAAAGTTTTACTCATGATATCTTAAGTATAATTGAATGATGTTGATGTTTTAATGACAATGGCTGGCAAATCTCCATGATGATAAAAAAAACATAGTAAAACAGATAAAATCTGGACAACAATAAAAGTCATGTTCAAGTCAATGTCTAATGATTTAGTATGGCTTTGGTCTTCTATCTCCCCTATCACCTCCAGGTCTGAAAAATTGAAAAAAAACACATCCATATTATATCAGTAAATTAAAACTATTCAGAGAATACATTTTTTTAAACAACTCATAATGAAGAGCATATGTGGTATATATTTTCCTCTGGATAACAGCATTTCAAAGCTGCTTACATTTAAGCTGAATTTATTATTTATTATCCATAATTATTTTAAACAATTTAAGATTAACAAGTCTTCCAACTTAAAAATATAAATACTATCAATTTTCCATGTGTGGTCCCAGATTCAATAACACAAAATCTGAAAATCTTTTGATTTTTCCCCATTAATTTCATGTATATCAATATTAAAACCAACATCAATTTATACATGAAATGCTTCATCTATACTTTTTTATACCACTAAAGAGCAGTTGAAACATAGAGTCATGTCTTACCTGTCAGGTCTGCCTCCTCGATCTCTTCCTCCTCCAAATCCACCGCCTCCTCTACCACCACCACCACGTCCACCTCTATCTCCTCCATAACCACCGCCCCCTCGGCCACCACCAAATCCTCCACGTCCACCTCTATCCCCACCAAATCCACCTCTACCTCGTCCTCTATCTCCACCTCTTCCACCACCGAATCCTCCTCTACCACGTCCTCGACCACCACCATCTCCACCACCCATTCCTTCTGGTCTGGCTGTGTTACATCTGTTACAACTGTCTCTCCAGGCAAAATTGTTGTTCCCACAATCACTGAAAAACATAACAGAAATATTTACATTATTTTTTTCAGCATGAATACACAAGAATGACTATTTGCACTCTTTTTGATCAATATTATATTATTTCTATGCCTTTTGCAATAGAACAAATTTTTTTTCACAAATGCATAAAATTTTCCAGGTTGGCATTGTAAGTAAATGAATATTTCAAGTAATACTTCCAACAATTTAGATTTTGCTATGTAATCACCAAAACTTCTCTGCTAGGAACAATTTCTTGTTTTTAAAATACTGTCTTCATGCACTCCAGGGATCAAATTATCACAGCACCTCCTGCATATAAATAATATCTTACCCGTTGGGACAGGTCCAGTCACCATCTCTGGAAGGTCCACCACTTCCACCTCCTCGATCACTTCCACCACCTGAATATAGACAAATCAAAGGTCACAACACATGTGATTCCCACATTTTGAGTAACTATTAGATATATCATAGAAAACTGTGTTTAATAAAATCTGTATGTGACTTGCAGCTCAAATAACCACCATTCAATCTGAGAGCTCATAGGAAACAGAACTTAAAATCTAACAGTACGATATCAGTCCTGCATAAGATTTACTGCTAATGTCATGTAATAAGAGTTGAAATACTTTTATATTCTCTCTGGGTAAGGCCTCTGCCAAATTATCCAATGAATACAATCAAATGAAGAAATTTTTTTGAAAATAATGATACTGAGGATTCATCATAATTCGTTGGTCACAAATTTTTCCTGGATTTTGTGGGTATAAACAAACCATGAATTTTCTAATGGATTATATGTAAATTTGGCAAAACCACAAAACCAATATTCACTATCATACATTTTTTCTGCAATCCCAAAAAATTGGTAGCCAACAACAATAAATTAATTCACAGAAGAATTAGTATTCAAAACCAGTAGTTTGAACTTTGGCACGTTATGATCAACACAAGAAAACAAATGACAATATTGCAGTTCTGATATACTTTACCCTTACCTCTTCCTCCTCCAAATCCACCGCCACCACCTCGGCCTCCACCTCCTGTAAATGCATATGTCTAGCATGAGGTCTAATCATACTTAATATTTCATTACAGGACTTAACTACCACAAAGTGTGTTTTAAAAGGTAAAATCCCCAAATTTGAAAAGTATCAGTGGCTTGCCCTAAACATCTTGAACCATCACATTTAGAAATCAAAAAATAGGGTTTATCATGATCAGCCTCTAATGCTAGTTATTCCCCTTGAAATTTTTGGTATTACCTGCGTCTTTAACTGTTTAATAATTCGTTCCCTAGTCATTTTATCCGTCTCTTGTATTTAATGTCCGGTAATTTGTGCAAGAATCAGTCAAGTTGCCAATTTATATATTTACAGATTTCTCATAAATAATAAACTAATATCAATTCAACTCCAGCTCAACAACTATATGTTAATAATTCATTTTTTTCTTGATTTCATGCATGATCTCAATTCATATCTTGGGACACATTTCTAGTTTTAAAAATGTCTACACTATGCCTACTTCAGAAATTCTTGCTGTTGTAATAGTTATAATACTGTTAGGATTCCAGGACTGTTTATTTCCTCACATCCAGCATCAAATATTTCATGCATATTCTGGAAGAGACAACTTCTGGATTTAATATTGAACATAAAATTTCCTACCTCTGCCTCCACCTCCACCTCTTCCACCGCCACCTCGGCCTCCTCCTCTTGTATCAAAGCTCTTCTGTACTCTTCTAGCTATTTCAACCTTGATAATACCGCCATCAAAATCTTTTTCTATAAAAGCACAATATTCATTTAAAATAAATATATTTAAAGGTGTGTTTACTGTACACAGATGGACCCTAATTTTTGAGAGCCTACACAACTTTATACAATTTGAATAACCTCCTACATCCAATATAATGAAACAGCCATGAAAAGAAAACAAATTTCAACAGAACAGTACCTAACCAAGTGTGGCATCACATCATCAAGTGCTTGGATTTTCATTAGAACTACCATGACATATCATGCAAGCGTACATGTATTAAATCAAATCTAACTTTTATCAAGGATTACTTCCTTAATGTCCACTACAAATTTCTTTAAGGGCTGTTTTAGAATTACTCATAGGGGGCATTGGACGCATTTTTTTAAAGACCGCAACCACCCATAAAATAAAAGTTTTAATTTTAAGTATAATTCTTACAAAATTCAAAATACAACCATGCATAATTAATTAATTAGAGTGCCTTTCATCTCTCAAGGATTAACTTCTATTTTATCAACTACAATCTTTCTATAAATGTTTTCAATATTCTCAAGTCAGGGATCTGCTAAAACATCTTCACTATACATTAAGATTGTTTTTTTCTCATGTTATGTATGAAGATATGAGAAATCAATCTTTTATAGAATTTTGTTCACTTAAACCTACCATTGAACCAGTTGATAGCTGCCTGTGCTGTAGCAGAATCATCATATGTGATGGTTGCTTCTCCTTTTGGTTTACCAGACATTTTATCTTTGTAGATCCATACCTTTGGTTTACCAGTTCTTTTGTCCATCTACAAAAATTATCAATCGACTATAAATTTTTACAGAAACATACAACTTGAAACTTGTATTGTTATGAAACATAGAAAATGTATGTTTCTAAAATTAAGAACACAATCAACACTTTAACAATGTTAAGTGTTGAAATCAAAAATAACATTTTCGTGAAGGACATCTTTTTTATTAGAAAGTGTCAAATAATTTAGAATTTTGACAAAAAATAAATATTTTCTTATCTAAAACCAGCAATCAAATATTATAATTTTTGGCAGGAGAACGGTGTGTTGACTTCTTTATTTTGATGTCTCTTCAGTTTTGGAAATGCGTCTTTTTATGCAACAGGTTATTTTTCATTCTTGCTTCCTTATAAACAAACATTGCATACCATGTTTCTTTGCTCTTTAGTACCTAAGTCAGTGGCAATATAATTCTATATTCACAGGTTAAGCTCAGGCAAAAACTTTGTAAATTTGCATGCATATTTTATTATACATATGCATTTAAAAGTTGTTTATAGATGTACCTTGATGACACCAATACTTCCAAAATGATTAACAAGGGCATCTTCAGTGATGGCTTCATTCAATCCAGTTACAAAAATAGTATCTATCATTTCTGTCATTTCACCAGCACCTGAAATGTAATGTAACCCAATGTAAAGTTGTTTTTCTATCAGGTGATGTAGTAAGAGATGTGCCACATTTCCAATAAGCATTTGAAAATTTAATATTAATTGCAACAAGTGGCAAATGTGGTGGGAAGCAAACTTCCACATGCCATTAAAAATTATTGGCATATAGGAAGCAGGTGTCTGATAAATCCAACAAGACACAATTTAATTGATATTCCTTTTTACCGTTTTCACAATCCTGTTTAGGACTTATTTTTAAACATTACAAAAAAATATATACTAACCTCCTCTGTCTCCACCTCTGTCACCTGAAAAACAGGTAGAATTTGATTAGCATTTTAGAATCAACTTCATTAAAACCAGTCTCAATATGCAAGTTAATTCACATGTACTTTTCTTTACTTTTTCATTTTAGTAAAACAACTCCATGATGACTATTTGGGAATTTATTGGAATATCTGAATTTAAGATATTGTTCGCTTTTTTAAAATCTTATTTCTTAAAATCAAACTGACAGGATTGTCTTGCATATTAAGACTGGTACTTAGTACTAATCTGATTGTAATAGAGATCTTGTGTCCATGCTTTGCTTACAAGGATCTGACAACATTCCTTTTTACCTTCTGTTCTGGTTATTATTACAGCAGCCAATCAATTTTTAAAAGTGTGTATCATTTTGATAAAAAAGGAGAATCTGGAAAGGTCCTTAAAACAGAAAGTAGAACTAAGCCTGGTCAGATTCAAGTAAGCTAACACTGTGCATATGATCTGTATATACATTGGATTGACTTCGTACATACATTTGTAAACAATAGATTGAACATACCAAATGAAATCTACCAAAAGATTTGACACATACATTAAATAACATTAAGTTCCATCTGGAATTTTCATTATAACATGTACCTAACAACCATTCATGGACAAGATACTTAACTCAACACAAATGTTTTATGTATGTATATAACAACTGGTTAACTCATCTCCAATTTCTGTTTAAGTCTAATTTGGAGAAAAAATGGCAATGAAAGAATGATACAAAGACATTACCAGAGGCTGGATCCCTGCAACTCACCTAATAGAGAACTAGAATGGACTATTTGCATGAGAGACTAATAATCTTGAAAAATGTCATTTAACATCATGAAACAAGTAAAATTCATTGGTACCAAAAAATCCCTGATCTTACATTTTTTTTTTTTCATTGTAAAATACGAAATCTGATAATTATCCAGGGAATACCAGATTTGATAAAACCATGGAGGTGAGTTACAGGGTATCCACATAACTAAATAATCCTCTGCAAAGTCTCTTTTTCAAGTTAATACTATAATCATGGAATTTTTTTATTAATGATCCAAATACTATACTAGCACTGAGTTCCGACAACGTCACAAGTTTTCAAATAAAAAGAGTTAACTAATCTAAATAAATAATTTGTAACATTAAAATTGACAAGTGATAGTATAATAATGGATCAGTAATCGTTTGTAGCATGTATGATGCAAGACATTATTATTTTACAGCTACTTTTTGTTTGAAAAAGAAATTTTATTTTGGTATGTTCATTATCATGTAAAAAAGTACTTATATTTACTAATTTTGACATTGTTAAAAATATAACCAAAAGCATTTCTTCACATTAATTTGTCAGATGAAAATCTGATCCTAAAATTGCAAATATCAATAAAGCAATGATTTCTTCAGAAAACAAGGAATTGAAACAAAGAAACAAAAGTACTTTTTTTTATCTTAACTTAATAATATATACACTACACATCGTTTTTATGGATTTAATATACAACAGGACAAAATGTAATAACTTTAGAACACATTAATACTCAACGGTCACACCAATACTTAACCATCTACCACACTTTATTTATGTGGTTTTATTTCATTCGGTTATATATCAAACCTGTTTAAGGATGGATATTATCACCATTTATTATTAAATCTGCCATTTTCCTACGGATTTATGTTTTATTAATACCAGGTTTAACATGATGTACACATTTATCACTTTCATATTGTAGGGCCGACATATACATATATCCAAATTGTACCATAGATTGCAGAGAGGTATACATTTCCTGAGACATATTACTCATACCATATTTTGTTCAATTTTTATCAATTCTTATTTTTATCCCATGATATATCTCAACTGAAGAACTATGTATTTTATGACAGTTGATTGTAACAACTGATATATAGTCCTTTTATATCTACATTTACATTGACAATGCTTTATATCGTGAATAGACGCCCATCTTATTTCACAGAGCTGATATTTGTTTCAATGTTGCACTCTGTAATTGATATTTCTAAATTTCTACTGGCTTCAACAGGCCACACTTTTATGATTTTTCTTAGTAGCAACATTTCGCTTTGTTCAACTTCAATCTTGATATCTATATTCCGTATTATATTATAACTGCACTTGTGTATATCAAACTTTTAACAAGTACATTACCAACACCTCAATTTTCCCACAGATTCATACATTTTCTTATGATTTCATCAACATTAACTTGAGCTGACAATTCTCTGCCATTTACACATTTTTCAAACTCTATTGCTATTTTTTGCATTGCTTTGTGATAATAATCACTTCAAGACCTCAATAAACATCTAATTAGTACTCATGATTACTATCCCACTTAATTCAAAGGAATTCTAATCATATTTGATATATTAACTATTCTCCATTAATACTTTAGCAGTTGTAGTCAATTCACCATGAATTATTATGCATTATTTTATGGTATAAATTTCTATAGCAATCATCACTTAGTTCATCATCCTCTGGGTAAAGTTCTGTCCAGTATTTTCCAATCTATTGTCAATGATTGTGACTGGTTTGAAGTAAAACATCACTTGATTCCTCCAGTAGTATTTATCAATGTCTATAATCACTTTGAATTTTAATCCACAACTTCCAGAATTTTCCACCATGATTAAATCTTGGTTCAACACAAGCAGTATTTCCCATTTTGACTGTTTCAACTTCCAACCTTCATTACTCTACTACTCAATCCATCATTTATAGTACCAAAATTCAAATTTTTATCAAATTATTTAACAAGTCATAAGTTCGTATATCAATGAAACATTTTTTGTTCCTGTCTATTGCAATGTGATCTTTTTTTTAATTTTTGAATGTTGGTACATAAATTCCTCTTTCACAAAATTAAGATTAAACAACATAAATACACAAAGTATAAAAGTCTGAGTGAATAAACTCTCAATGATTTTTTGAACAAATGAAGTCAGAAATTTTTTTCTTATAGTACATCATTTCAAATTGGTAAAAAAAAACCTGAATTAAGAAACTGAAAAAATGCACACTTTTCTAATAGCAGTGTATTCACTCAAGTTACTTCCCTTGCCCAATAAATATATTAACATATCCAACAAAACTACATTAATTATCAAGAAAACAGATGAAGCAATGCAAATGCAGCATCCATTTCTTCTAAGATAGTTGCGTGTAATTGCAACACTAAGAGAAAACTTGGAATAATGGTCAGTGACAAAAGCTTGACCTTTGAACTTACCACCACCAAAACCTCTGCTGTACCCTCCACGACTACCACTGAAATATATTGATGGGGTCAGTATCGATCACGCCCACAAGATGTGGACCGACGATACTGCCGTATCCTTGTAGATCCCAACAAGGTCTTCTTTTGGTTTTGATGCTAAACACTAAATGTAGACTGTTGCAAAACACTCCCAACCTATCTATTTTCATACTCCAAATATAACCTTTTTAATATTTGTGTAAACTTCATTTTAATGTTTATTTTAAATAATTAACCTCCATACAGTTTATATGATTTCTTGTGCATACCCTCTTCAGTGGCTCTGGTATCAGGGGAATATTTTATTGTGGTATAGTTTATTTCTTTCATAATATTTAATGAACTTTATGTTGTACTTTATGTACAAGATTTTCTTATTTTACATAACCACCTTTAGAAATTATCAGATAACTGACATTATTCTAAAGTGTTTCTAATGATTTATACACACCATATGGTACTAACTCAGATTTCATATCTTTTTTTTTAACTCATTCTCAGTTCATGAAAGAGAACAAGACCTTTACCATCCACGGGTATGTAGATCTGAAACCTTGATATGACACTTTTTTTGTTCTAACCTAATTTTGTTTACAAATAAGGAAAAATCAAATGCAAAACCGTTAAACTGAATAATAAACAATTTAACCAATTCATAAGAAAGTGAAACTTGAAGGTTAAAGATGAATTTTATTAGACATCAAAAGGAACAATCAAAATGTAAATTCTTGTAAATTTTACCAACATTACAAACATTACAAACACCTTGTGGGGCAAATATCTTTTGCTATTTTTTTTCATCCAATTATGTAAACATGCATGTTCACCAAAACACTAATGATGTGGCTGTAGCTAGGTATCTACAAAAATGTACCTTTTCTACACATTGAACTTTTTTTTTCTTTTCATTTAAAATGGAATCTTCAGAAACAAAAATTCAACCATCATTGCTTTCCAAAGGAGATTAACCTGACATGTACAGGACAATTTATGGCTTATATTTTTTATTTATTAGTTACATAACCCAATTCTTAGATAAAAAGTTTGCATTTCTAAGGTTAATTTACGGTTGTATCATGATTTACATGGTTACTTTCAGACAGTTTAAAGTAGAACCTTTTTTCAATTTACTGAATTTCTCATGACTAATTTGTAAAAGCTTAAAATTGCAATCAGCTACAATTTTCAACTGTACATGTTATTCTTTTTCATGGTAACACCATTTAATATCCCCTTTACCATGACACTATATCACTTAAAATAAAAGCCAGTATTCTCTCTTTTTTGTTAACAAAGTAGAGATACATTGGCACTTAGGCACACCTCTTGTATTGGTAAGAGTCAGTTTAAATGGATTATCTAAGCTTCAAAGGTTTTTTATAAAACCAATTTAAACATGTGGTCCACTTATCTACACTAATATCAAACTGACACTTTGAAGTTTTATTTAATTCTTATATACCAGAGCCACTTTTATATAACCTGGACTTCTTTTAACATTTTTACACCTGAACGGACTCACTGGAAATGCTAACTTCACCTCTTAATTACCCTTTTAAAAAATAGAATATTTAATAACAGTGATATACACTATTGTACCAAGTTAAAAGACAACCTCATTTCTTTTATGATCTTTCAGCATCTGCTTTTGTTTTAGGCATCATTAAATTCAAAGCATTTCATCAATACAGCCTTTTCTTTTCTTTTGTAGAGGACAGCCGATTGGCCCATAATTCGCTTTTTAATACTGATTTAGAACTAAGAATTCATGAGAGGTTCAGACAAATAAAAATGGCCATAAAATTTGACAGAAAATAGTGTTATTTAAATGGGTTTTAGGACAGATCATATATCATTTTTGATTGACTTTGCTTAATTTCAAAATCTATTTACAAAATTAAGAGAACATAACTTCATGCTGGGATATTTATTATAACAAGTCAACCTTTTTCTTTTGAGTACAGGTAGTCATTTTCCCTAAAAAATTAGCCCTTAAAAGTGTATGTAGTAAATAGATGCATACCAATAGAACTTGTGTCACAAAAAACTTACACTCTGACACTGTTCAGAAGAAATTTAAGCTTTGTTACTCATTAGCTCCAGTGAGTCATTTTAATTTCATTCACAATACTAATTTTATATCCCCCTACATTCTATGCATTTTGCAACAAAGTACACCGTTTACACAACCTTCTATGGTAAACCTGTTGAAAAGATCTTAGGAAATGGCAGAGTTATAGCATGTTTATAAATTATATTACATATATATGTGTGTGTGTGCAGTATCCTGATAAATCAACCCTCATGATATTTCACCATGTTATAAAACAACCTTTGTTAACCAGGATTTTTACCCTAATTCTGATTAATACTTTTAAAGTTTTTAATCATATCTACTACTAATAATCGCAATCAGAATCTATCAACCCAGGTAGCAGTTTAACTATTCAAGTAACCATATTATAGAGTACCCTTTGTAAATGTAAGGATTTCATACCCATACTTCTTAATATAACTATCACTGTTAACCAAATCTTCTACCAATAATCACACAAATGTGGAAAATATTAAACATCTCTTTTTTTTCTTTTCTCTTTTTAAATCTAAGTTACAAATTTGTAACATTAACTCCTTAAAAATTGCTTGTTTTTCTTTACTCTTTGAAAACCAATATTAGTTGTAACGTATACCTCACAGGACATTTATCGAATTTGTATTTTCACCAAATATTTTTGTTGTTGTTGCTTAAATGATTAAATATGAAACCTACCCTCCTCCGTATCCTCCTCCTCCTCCATCCCTGCCTCCACCGCCTCCTCCTCCTCTTCCTGTAAAACAAAGCCAATCAAAAAACATTACAAAAAGAAGAAATTACTTTTTGTTAGTTGGTGCACAATAACATAGATATTTTGCTTATAATTACAGAATAAAGAACATTTGCATTTTTTCTTCTTCAAATTTAGTAGATGGTTTTATATTATGCTGGAAGATCATTATAAACTAAGTTAACTTTTCTTGTGAGTTCTTAATTCTTTTCTACTAATTATTCAAAATGAATTTTTTTCTCAACAAAATTTATTTGATTACTGCGAAGAAGAAAGCTGTAATTATGTTCCAACAATGACCTGTATGACAAGACCTACCTCTTCCTCCACCATAACCCCCTCCTCCTCCCCCTCCACTTCCGTAGGATCCACCAGAACCCCCGTATCCACCTGATCCTCCTCCACTGCCATAAGAGCTACCACCTCCTTGTGATCCATAGTCACCACCACCACCACCACCACCACTACCCCCACCATAGCCACCAGTCTGGCCACCGTAACCACCAGACTGTTGTTCATAGCCAGTGGTAGTGGTCTGTCCTCCGTAACCTCCTGAAGACCCATATGATGAGGTATTTTGTTGGTATCCTGAAACAACAGATATGATTTTTTAGCTCCTGTTCAGTGTTACAAAACTTCGTCAAGATATCTAGGGTAGCAACAATACATTGACTTAATTGTAGTTTACTTTAAGACACACAATCAGTGTGGTTTACAATATAAAATACATTACAAAGATGGCATACTAATATAGACTGAAAATAAGCAAAGAGGACTAGCCAGCTCTCCCAGGTATAACCCTTCCATTTTATCACAGTATTGCCATACTGTAGGTCAAATTACGGAGAGAAAAAACCTGAAAAGGGTAGAGCACTGGCTAACTGATTCAAAGAAATATTAGCAAAATCTAGTTCAAAACTGACTTGTAGGTTTCAAAATATCTGGTTACAAGTGTCATTTCTATACTAATGTCTAACAACAAATGTAATTACCTTGCTGACCATACTGTGAGGCACCATCTTGTTGCTGTGTTACTCCATAAGCTGATTGATCTACAAATGTATAAACATACACACATAACAAAATCACAATATCAAATGTCTGCATAAACAAACGGTTTATTCTACTTTTTTTTTACATCAGAGTGCAGATTATGTCACATTAGTTTTATACAGGGTTCGACATTTGTTGTTTTTAATACTATAAAAATTTGACAACAGTTCTTTGTGAAGAATGAGGAAGAGGTTGATCCATTAAACTATTTCATGCTTCATTCTAAACTTCACAAATTTTCAGAAAATGTATTTCCAAAGAATTCATTTTGAAAATATTGGTTTCATAGAAAAAATCACACATTAATCACAGTGACTTAATTTCAAATCAGAAGCTTTATCAATTTGCTACGAATATTTTGTGGATCTGACATTTTTAAAACAGAAAGCGATTTTTTTTCCAAAGTTTTTTTAAATTATCAATTTTCTATCTCAATGATAAGGAATAACAAAATAATGTCGACTCTTGTATAACTTTAATTACTAAAACTAACATACAATACAATGTCCACCAGGTTTGGTTTTAACAGCCAGTTTACACCTGTTTTTCACATTATAGCTTTTATTACCTGTTGTTGCATACTGTTGTTGTCCATACCCTGCAACTCCATAAGCCTGACCACCTCCTTGTGCTGCTTGTGCTAAAACATTAATGAATACCCAGTCATTTTTATTCTTACATTTTTGTTTACCTATTGTGTACAATGAAGGTTACCTCAGCTACAGTCAACAATCACTTTCTGAAAAATTATGTTTATGAAGATTTCAAAAATACATTTCATAAGCTATCAGTTCTAGCTTTGTGGTCACACTAGTTCTACTACCAATGTATATTAGAGAATAAACTTCAGCACTAGAATTAACCAATATTTGTTTGAAAAGAAACAAACAAAAAACAAGTTTGTTATCCTAGTTAAAAAAAAAATTATCTCACATAAAATCCAGGATTATTTTGAAAATTGAGTATACATTAGATAATAACTGAAGAAAATTTTGATCTTTGCATAGTTTGCAATTAATAAATTTTGTTAAATGCAAAAATCAAAATTTAAGAATCTCAGATCATATCAAACACTGAATTTTCATTATAAAGTAACATTTGATGTGTTTAAGCAAATAAAAAGAACACTGGCATCTGGAACTTTCCTATGAAAATGCAAACAATTGCTGTAATGTGAAGACAAAATTTGATATGTATATATATACACATATTTGACAAAAGTGGATGGATATAAAAAACTAAATTTAAAAAAAAAAAGAAACGTCATTTAAAAATCCTCAAGTTTAAAAAAAGAATATAAATAAGATGGTACAAATAACTTTCATGTGTTAGTACAGCAGGGCTTCGGAATTCCCATTTCCCGTTTCCAGGGGAAAGATAAAAATCGTCAGGTAAACGAAAACGCAGGTACCAGTTTCCCATCGGATCAGTAAATCGTCTTTACATGGTACTTTCCGGTGTTTTTTCTTTGTTTGTCAAAGTCGGTTATTGGACAAAATCTAATTTAGAAACTGGTTGAGGTTCCCTGAAGTAATCACTTGTTTCCTTGCGTTTACAGCGGTAGTTAGTTATTATCAGTAAACAGTAATGTAGGTCATGAAGCCATGAGTTTGCATAAATATTTTATCCCTGCCGAAACGGAAATTATTAGACTTTTTAATTGTTCATACATCAAGCTTTTTTTTCAGACTTCAAAAAGAATGGAAAGTGCAAACTGATGCGGGAAAGTAAAATTGTAAGATAACTTTCCAATGGGTAAGTGCATTTTCAAAAAAATTCGGAAGCCCTGTACAGTAAGACCTACTAAATATTCTCGTCCAGTAAGACCTACTAAATATTCTTGTCCAGTAAGACCTACTAAATATTTTTGTCCAGTAAGACCTACTAAATATTCTTGTCCAGTAAGACCTACTAAATATTTTTGTCCAGTAAGACCTACTAAATATTTTTGTCCAGTAAGACCTACTAAATATGTCAGTACAGAAACCCGTACTAAATATGTCAGTATAACAAAACCAAATAATTATGCCAGTACAGCAACCTACCAAGCCATTTTGTAGTGAAATCAAAAGGAAAATTCTAAAATTGCTTCTCGTTTGGTTGCACTATACAGGTAGTCAAATTCAATCCTAAAATTATGTGAGGTTTGGAATACAGTAGGTTGCAGTTCACATGAAAGTTACTAGTTTGGTACAATAAGCACGTCAAAATAAATGAGCAGAAATATAATTAAATTTTTTTTGCAATTCAAACAATTTGTCTTTTATGTATAAAAGTTTTTATCAGCACAAAAACAAACTTGGAAGGCAAAAACAGCACAAAGATAAATATACATGTAATTACAGTAAAAAGCATCAATCTTTGGAAAGTAGGAAGTGATACTTTACAGGTATGTATTGCATGTTAATTAAGTTAATTATATAAAGATTGCAATTTGACCCTTACATGTAGATACAAACCCCATTGCTTTATATTAACCACAAAAAATCTCACAGAAAATAAACAATGCCTCTTTCATGATTCATTAAAGGAGACATATTGCAATCCTTAGAGAGAAGTAAAGATCTAGCTGTGTAAATCTAGTTAAAAAGAAACAAGCACAAGCAAAGATGGTCTATTATTTACCAGTTGTTTGTCCGTAAGTAGCGGTCTGTCCATAACCTGCTGCCTGAGTAGCTGCTGGTTGTGCTGTTTGTCCATAAGCACTAGCATCATATCCTGTGTAACCTGCCTGCTGGTAACCAGCCTGAAATGTACAACAAAAAGGTTTAATGTCATGTTTATGGAGGTTTAGAAATGTAAGCATTGTCCAGCAACACTGCTGTTAAAAAATATATACATATAATAAAATGCTTCGCTGGGCGCAGCTTGATACGACCGCAGAGGTCGAACCCTGAACAGTTGGGGCAAGTATGGACACAACATTCAAGCTTGATACAGCTCTGAATTTGGATTGTGATTAAATATTTGACACAGCATAGGTTTCTGACACAGAAAGAATGTGGTCTAAGAACTTCAATTTTTTTAATTTACCTATTATGGTCCAATGTCCAAAATCAAAATACATGGTTAGATTCAGCATATCAAAGAACCCCATATATTCAATTTTTGTTGAAATCAAACAAAGTTTAATTTTGGACCCCAACTTGGACAAACTTGAAAACTGGTCCCATAATCAAAAATCTAAACACATGTTTAGATTCAGCATATCAAAGTACCCCAAGAATTCAATTTTTGTTAAAATCAAACTAAGTTTAATTTTGGACCCTTTGGACCTTAATGTAGACCAATTTAAAAAACGGGACCCAAAATTAAAAATCTAAATACACGGTTAGATTTGGCATATCAAAGAACCCCAATAATTCAATTTTTGATGAAATCAAACAAAGTTTAATTTTGGACCCTTTTGACCTCAATATGAACCAATTTGATAGCGGGCCCACAAAATAAAAAACCTAAATACATGGTAAGATTCAGCATATCAAAGAACCCCATATATTCAATTTTTGTTGAAATCAAACAAAGTTAAATTTTGGACCCCAATTTGGACCAACTTGAAAACTGGGCCAAAAATCTAAAATCTAAATACATGTTTAGATTCAGCATATCAAAGAACCCCATATATTCAATTTTTGTTGAAATCAAACAAAGTTTAATTTTGGACCCCAACTTGGACCAACTTGAAAACTGGTCCCATAATCAAAAATCTAAACACATGTTTAGATTCAGCATATCAAAGAACCCCAAAAATTCATTTTTTTTTAAAATCAAACTAAGTTTAATTTTGGACCCTTTGGACCTTAATGTAAACCAATTTAAAAAACGGGACCCAAAATTAAAAATCTAAATACACGGTTAGATTTGGCATATCAAAGAACCCCAATAATTCAATTTTTGATGAAATCAAACAAAGTTTAATTTTGGACCCTTTTGACCTCAATATGAACCAATTTGATAGCGGGCCCACAAATAAAAAATCTAAATACATGGTAAGATTCAGCATATCAAAGAACCCCATATATTAAATTTTTGTTGAAATCAAACAAAGTTTAATTTTGGACCCCAATTTGGACCAACTTGAAAACTGGGCCAAAAATCTAAAATCTAAATACATGTTTGGATTCAGCATATCAAAGAACCCCATATATTCAATTTTTGTTGAAATCAAACAAAGTTTAATTTTGGACCCCAACTTGGACCAACTTGAAAACTGGGCCCATAATCAAAAATCTAAACACATGTTTAGATTCAGCATATCAAAGAACCCCAAGAATTCAATTTTTGTTAAAATCAAACTAAGTTTAATTTTGGACCCTTTGGACCTTAATGTAGACCAATTTTAAAAACAGGACCCAAAATTAAAAATCTAAATACACGGTTAGATTTGGCATATCAAAGAACCCCAATAATTCAATTTTTGATGAAATCAAACAAAGTTTAATTTTTGACCCTTTTGACCTCAATATGAACCAATTTGATAGGGGGTCCACAAATAAAAAATCTAAATACATGGTTAGATTCAGCATATCAAAGAACCCCATATATTCAATTTTTGTTGAAATCAAACAAAGTTTAATTTTGGACCCCAATTTGGACCAACTTGAAAACTGAGCCAAAAATCTAAAATCTAAATACATGTTTAGATTCAGCATATCAAAGAACCCCATATATTCAATTTTTGTTGAAATCAAACAAAGTTTAATTTTGGACCCCAACTTGGACCAACTTGAAAACTGGGCCCATAATCAAAAATCTAAACACATGTTTAGATTCAGCATATCAAAGAACCCCAATAATTCAATTTTTGTTAAAATCAAACTAAGTTTAATTTTGGACCCTTTGGACCTTAATGTAGACCAATTTAAAAACAGGACCCAAAATTAAAAATCTAAATACACGGTTAGATTTGGCATATCAAAGAACCCCAACAATTCAATTTTTGATGAAATCAAACAAAGTTTAATTTTGGACCCTTTTGACCTCAATGTGGACAAAGTTGATAACGGGGCCCAAAAATCAAAAATCTAAATACATGGTTAGATTCAGCATATCAAAGAACCCCATATATTCAATTTTTGTTGAAATCAAACAAAGTTTAATTTTGGACCCCGATTTGGACCAACTTGAAAACTGGGCCCATAATCAAAAATCTAAATACAAGTTTAGATTCAGCATATCAAAGTACCCTAAAAATTCAATTTTTGTTAAAATCAAACTAAGTTTAATTTTGGACCCTTTTGACCTTAATGTAGACCAATTTGAAAACGGAACCAAAATTTAAGAATCTAAATACACGGTTAGATTCGGCATATCAAAGAACCCCAATAATTCAATTTTTGATGAAATCAAACAAAGTTAAATTTTGGACCCTTTGGACCTCAATGTGGACCAATTTAAAAACGGGGCCCAAAATCCAAAAACTTAATACATGGTTAGATTCAGCATATTAAAGAACCCCAAGAATTCAAGAATAAAACCCCATTGAAATTGATCAAGAAATAAGCAATTTATACGAAGTATCTTCTTTTGCACAATACTGTGCAATTGAATATTTCTTGCTATTGTGCAATACTGTACAATTGACAATTTCTTGCTATTGCGCAATATTGTGCTATTGGATATTTCTTGCTATTGCGCAATACTGTGCAATTGAAGATTTCTTGCTATTGCGCAATACTGTGCAATTGAAGATTTCTTGCAATTGTGCAATACTGTGCAATTGAAAATTTCTTGCTATTGCACAATACTTATTATATAATAATTTACACATCCTGTTTGGTGTGTATCTCCTACCATATCATTATTATTTGCTTTTAAATATTAATCAGAAATAACCAACTTAAAATGGAAAATTTTAAAAGAAAAAAAAAAGGAAAAAAAGAAAAAAAAAAAAATCCCCCCCCCCAAATTTTTTGAACCCCCTTATGATTCATCACCCCCAAACTCAATCCCAGCCTTCCCTTTGTGGTATGGTACCTTGCAGTACAATTTCAGAGAGATCCATACACTTGAACACAAGTTATTGTCTGGAAACTAGAAAAATGCTTATTTTTGGCCCCTTTTTGGCCCCCAATTCCTAAACGTTTCGGGCAATTACCCCCAAACTCAATTCCAGCTTTCCCTTTGTGATATGGAACCTTGTATTACAATTTCAGAAATATCCAAACACTTACACACAAGTTATTGTCATGAAACTAGAAAAATGCTTGTTTTTTGCCCCTTTTTTGGCCCCTAATTCCTAAAATTTTGAGGCAATTACCCCCAAAATCAATTACAGCCTTCCCTTTGTGATATGGAACCTTGTGGTACAATGTCAGAGAGATCCATACACTTACACACAAGTTATTGTCTGGAAGTTACAAAAATACTTATTTTTGGCCCCTTTTTGGCCCCTAATTCCTTAACTGTTGGTACCATAACCCCCAAAATCAATCCCCACCTTCCTTTCGTGGTATTGAACCTTATGGTAAAATTTCATGGAGATCCATTCACTTAAACTAAAGTTAGAGTGCGAAAACCAATGTGTCTTCGGACGACGCCAGACGACGACGACGATGACGACGCCAACGTCATACCAATATACGACCAAAAAATTTTCAATTTTTGCGGTCGTATAAAAATAAGTAGATGTGGTATGATTGCCAATGAGACAACTCTTCATCAAAGACCAAATGACACAGAAGTTAAAAATCATAGATCACTGTACAGCCTTCAACAATGAACAAAACCCACACCGCATTGTCAGCTATATTAGGGCCAGAAAAGACAAATGTAAAACAAATAGGATATACAGCATGTATGCTTTGTGTATTGTGTAAAAGCCAAACATAATTTTACCTCCCAAGGTCAGAAAGACTGTTCAAACCTAGTCTTCTACCATTTGTTAGCATATATAAGTAAGTATTCTACAATATTTTATTAAAAGCTTGCTTAACATATATTACTGGATTATTTAAAACAATTCAAGCTTAAAGCTATAAATCAGCAACAAAAAAATAGATTCGATAGTTACCAGTCTTGGATGAACCAATTGACTGGTGTTTATAGTCTAATCACAATACATTTACATACCGGTTGTGTTGGTGGTTGTTGTGTCTGACCATACTGTTGATATGTAGCTGTTGAGTCGGCTGCTGTTGCTCCGTAACTACCATAGTTGTAGCTGTAAAATATGTCAAATTAGATGATTGCGAGAACTACTGTAAAATATGTTCAACTAGAAGATTGTGAAAACTATTCTAAAAAGATGTTTTGTTCCTTTGCATAGTTATCTTTAAATGTTATTTGACCATTCTAAACCGCTCTAAGTAAGGACAATTGATAACAGATTACATTGTAAGTGAAGATATTGGCATAACTGTCCGAATATTCTGAAACTTTTATATTTTTATCTAAACTCAAAAGTTGCCATTGCAAACTACTTTCAAATTTTTCTCTAAAAAAACAGTTTTTTTGTCCAAGCTACATGTACTTTGAATGATGTAAATCAGTGACATGTCACCGGTCAATACATTTTCACTTTCCAGATCTAATTTTCAAATTTGGAAACTGTTTGAATGAATCACTAAGGATAAGTTAATCTTGGCCATGGACTAGTTGATTTCCTTTATCAATAGCCCATAGAGCTGGTGAAAATCAGTTACTGCATAAAAATGAACTGTTTATAAGAGAAAATTGTTGTTGCAATGGATACATAATCAACCTTGAACAAAACTTACTTTGGTGCTCCTCCAGCTGAATAATTATATTCTGCAAATAGAAATAAATACATAAATGAATAAAAAATCACAACTTTTCCTTAATTTTAAATAGTTTCATTTGACCAACAAGTCATCCCCAAGATAACTTTACCACTAGTCAAAATGGAAATATGTATTTTTATAACTTTAATGTCAAGAGTACAACCCTAAAATTTGGTGAAATTCTTAACTAAGTTTGAACTTTGTATGGCATTTTTTATGAATGAGTTACCCTGGTTGACCCAGGCAAGGTCAATCAGCGTAAATGACATTATTGTATGATAGACTCTCAGTCTTCACAATGAACTTTAAAATCTACAGGCCCGGAGCTCAATTTTTGGAAAACTTTAGTTAGATTCTGTTGGCCTGTAAACATGATTTTTACAGGCCCGAGAGCAATTTTACAAGCCTGGGCTGCTGGGCCTGTGGTTCAGCGTGAAGACTGGACTCGTACTACTGTGATGTAAAAACATCAGCATTATGTCATCAGAAATGTACGGGAAATACAGTAAGTGAAACATCTAAAGCTTGATATATTCTATAGGGTATCAGGTCTTATCGCCCTCATTTTCTATACAACTGAACTACATCTTTAGTATAAGATGGTACATGTATTTAGTTTTTATACATTCATGTATTTTAGGTATTCAAGCTAATACAAGGTTTGACATTTTAAGGTTCATCATAACAAATGGACAATAAAATGCTCCGCTGGGGCGCAGCTTGATACGACCACAGAGGTCAAACCCTGAACAGTTGGGGCAAGTATGGACACAACATTCAAGCTTGATACAGCACTGAATTTGGATTGTAATTAAATATTTGACACAGCATAGGTTTCTGACACAGAATGAAAGTGGTCTAAGAAGTTAAAAAATTTTAATTTACCTATTCAAACCATATCATTATTATTTGCTTTTATATATAAATCAGAAATAACCAATTTAAAATGGAAAATTTTTCAAGAAAAAAAATCCCCCCCCCCCAAATTTTTTGAACCCCCTTATGATTCATCACCCCCAAACTCAATCCCAGCTTTCCCTTTGTGGTATGGTACCTTGCAGTACAATTTCAGAGAGATCCATACACTTGAACACAAGTTATTGTCTGGAAACAAGAAAAATGCTTATTTTTGGCCCCTTATTCCTAAACTTTTTGGGCAATTACCCTAAAACTCAATTCCAGCTTTCCCTTTGTGATATGGAACCTTGTAGTACAATTTCATAAAGATCCATACGCTTACACACAAGTTATTGTCATGAAACTAGAAAAATGCTTGTTTTTTGCCCCTAATTCCTAAAATTTGGAGGCAACTACCCCCAAAATCAGTCCCAGCATTCCCTTTCAGATATGGAACCTTGTGAAACAATGTCAGAGAGATCCATAAACTTACAAGTTATGTCTGGAAGTTACAAAAATGCTTATTTTTTGCCCCTTTTTGGCTCCTAATTCCTTAACTGTTGGTACCATAACCCCCAAAATCAATCCCAACCTTCCTTTTGTGGTATTGAACCTTAAGGTAAAATTTCATTGAGATCCATTCACTTAAAGTTAGAGTGCGAAAACTAATATGTCTTCGGATGACGACGACGACATCGTCATACCAATATACGACCACAAAAATTTTTTTGCGGTTGTATAAAAATGGCTGTATTTCCACCTCAAAAACTACTCTGAGTACAGACTTACCTGTCTAGTTGGAAAAGTTTAAATGCCTGGCATCCACTAGATATATAAAAGTTAAATGCATTTTGTGTTTCAGAAAGATAAAATCTTTTTTGGATTTTGATGGACATTTTTTTTCCTTTCTGCAGAAGGTGTAAAAATAAACTAAGTTGGGATAAAACTTTGAGATGCTCCCTCTCAGGTAAAAACTGTATTGTATTGTATTGATTGTCCTTGATTGACACGGACAAAAGACAGACAATCACAATCGCTATCTACACAATTATAGGTGAGTTAAAGGGTTTAACTGAGTGGACAGTATCAAAGCAATTCAGGTGTTTGTTTATGTTTACACCTTCTGCAGAGAGGAAAAAAAATGCCCATCAAAATCCAAAAGTGATTATATCTTTCTGAAACAAAAAATGCATTTAACTTTTATGTATCTAGTGGATGCCAGGCCTTAAAACTTTCCAAACTGGACAGGTAAGTCTGTACACAGAGTAGTTATTGAGGTGTAAATACAGCCATTTTTGTCCATTTGTTATGATGAACCTTAATCAAATAATAATCATATATAGGATTCACTACGTAAATCTGCTCAAATAAGGCTTTGATCATTAATTATATACAAGTTGTTTTAAATTTAATATAAATCGATTCACTAACAACTCAATTTTGAGTAGTTATCTCATTTCCCTAAAAAATATCTGAAATAAATTTTAAAATCAACAAAACAAGTTGGTAATCTGTGTTTTTATTGGAAAGGTGTTTGACCGATAAATCTGCCCATGTGCAGTAAATATGTATGGAGTGCCAGTTTATCACATATTTATGAAAGGAAAATGGTGATTTATTAATAGACCACTTAAAAAGGGATTCCGACAATCTAAAGAAAAAATAAATTTCAAGTCAGAAGTGAGTTTTGTAAGCAATAATATGTTTCTTGCTAGCTTTGGGAACTGTATTACATATATCACTCGATATTTTCCTAATAAAGGATTTTTCTTTAAAAGTTTACAAGCAGTGAGGATAAGTACAGTTCCTATGAATAAAATAGCAGATGATTATTCACGGAAGTGACAATTACAGAAGTAAATAGGAGTGGGCAGGTTTACCATACAGGCGGAATTACCGGACACTACTGTATGCATTTCATCTCATTTTTTGAAATTGCATTGAAAAGTTCCAGAGAAAAAATAATGTGTTACTATTTAATAAACATTACGATAATTTCAGGATATGATACATGGACAGTGAAACAGAAAGCCCTTCTAACATGCAAAAAAAAATCTTGCTTGTTCTTTTAAGCCCATTTTTGCAAAACCTCATTCACAACTTACTGCTACCCCAATATCAAATCCGACAAAAATTATGTCGATTGATAGGCTGAATATTGTTTCTTTACAATCTTATCGTCATTGTTTCAATTCATTCTTTTTCTTTTTTAGCCGGCTTTCCAGATTTTCTACTAGATCTAGGTCCTTCAAAGCTTCATACTTTATCATAATGCAAATTAATCACTTTACAAATGCTGCCGTCTACTTCCTGAAACCTAACATTTATGGAAAACACTGTTTCCAAAGGGCTTCATTAACCCCCAAATCCCGGCATCTTTGACTGCGATTTAAGATTTGTTACGGAAATTTAACCATGATTTGTGCAAACTACTGGTTACACCCAATAAAATTAGTTATATCATCGTCTTACAACACAAAAAGTTGACACAGAGTTTACTTTTCAAACCATTTCTTGAGTTAAAACACTAATGTAATGGTAAAATAGAATGTTTTCTTACGACTTGCATCCGCCATTGTCTGTTCGTTTATGTGCAAGAGTCACGTGGTAAAAACCGCGTGTCTTTCAGGAACCATGTGACCATACCATTTGAAGAACATTTTTCTTTTTATTTTGAAAAATGTATATACTTTACATACCGACGGGTAATGTTTAACATGTGCTCTTCAGTAATTATATTTATACAATTTAATTGGCAACAATTATAAAGCAATGCAACAGCAGAAACGTAATAGTCTGTACATTTATCTTTTCATTGTCCTGTTGGGTCCCTCATTTTTTTATAATGAGCATGCGCAACTGGTTCCTAATTAAATTGCAAGCAACAAAGCATAGGAAAAAAATCCAGTTTAATTAAATAGGGGTGTCATGAGGGTATGTGGTAAGAACTGATGCACAGGAAATTGTTTGTAGTAATTCATTTGATAGATTACTATCTATATCAGAAGAGCCCGGAGAAAAAAATTTTTTGTAAGACTTTTTTAAAATAAATATGAAAAACAAGTAAATGCAAAAGAGATTCTCTTTAATAGTGCATCAATTTAATTGCCTATTGCAAGGATTTGTATAGTGAGAAGGATTGGAATCTCGTGGACTATTTGCATTGCCTGTATTGAAATAAGCTGCGTATGATGAGATTTTGTGAGATTTACCATGATGCATCTCGTGGTAAACGGACAGAAAGTTACAGGACAAAAAGTCACAGGACATAAAGTCACAAATTGGATAGGACAAAAAGTCACAGGACAAAAAGTCACAAATAATTTGTTGACAATTGTTTGAATATATAAGAGAAAGATCTTCAAATTATTTCTTTTTTTACATTTATTCATTTTTAAGTATAGGAAATTGTTCATAAGCCTTGATAAATGAAAAAATATTAAATTTTAATCATGCAAATCAAGGATACAAATCCTTGGCATAACTTTTGGTGATAATTTATACCTATTAAAAGTCTCTATGCAATAAAAAAAAATTAATAAAAACGGACACTTTGCGAACGCCTAATTTGACTTTTACTATCTTTTTTTTTCTGCTTCTGGCGCACACATAATTACAACATTACCGTAACAGAGAGAAAAACAGAACAATTTGATCATCAATAATTAGAAATTTATATTTTCAATCATGATTAAAAAGTAGTTTTATTTAAATGAAAAAATGCAGAAAGCGGTCTATTAAATTTATTCATCAGACAAACCAAATATGTATGGTGACAATCCGATCGGTATTGTCTGAAAAATCGTCGTTTTTGGACTCTTCACATGAAGAATTAATCATAACCAGAAATTAGTAGTACTTTTGCTAATTAATATTCATAATATGTAAATGAGAATTGTACCACGTGATAATAGTTTGAACTGGACTGGCTTGATATCATTAAAATCTTTAAAACACGGATATTATAAGTTGACCGTCACAGAGTCCTTGTTTATAGTCACTCTGATATTTCCGTAAAGTTGTCAGGCGGTCAAAATCAAAACAATGAACGCGAATTTAGTGAATTTTTTCGTGTTTTCGTGAGTTTATTCTTCTTGAAATAGAGGCATTTTAACTTTACGTGGGAACCTAGAGTTCAACGACTACACATACAAGGTTTGGACTTGCTTATTCTTTGGACATTCAAGTTTCAAGTTTCACCCCGGCAACCTGTATTTCTAATGACCTTGTTAGCCAATTTTCAACATAAAGTTTGCAAATTTGACGTTTCAGCCATTTTAGCCTGTATTTTATACTGCAATGTTAAAAGCCTCTCGCTTCGATTTTTAAAATAGCTCAGGAACCTTGATTTTTGCAACGACAGTCATTATATTTCGTTTAAATGGTGTATATTGTTGTGTATATTTATTTTCTGCCCCGGCAACCTGTCTATCACTTAAATCAAAGTTAAAACAGACATTTTTTCTAAATTCCCTATCATTTCAATATAATTTCCGTGACCCGTTTCCGATTTCTTTAGTATAATATTCAAATAAGCAAAGTGGCGTTGATTTCTGGATATGTATCCTTTTCTTGGTTATGTTTCACACACAATGTCTTTATAGTTTGTCAGTAATCTGGAAAAGTGCTGTCAATACCTTCCATAGTGTATCGACATCGTCCAGTTAAGAGACATTTTCCCAGCTTGTAACCACTGACGTAAGCACGATCACGTGATCGTTATCTAATTAAAAATCATTCTTAATGACAAGCGCTTGATTCTTTGACCAGAAAAATGCTGATTTTTCAGGTTTTGCAGGGCTCGACAATAACGCTTGTCCGATTGTCCGGTACCAGAGGAAAAAAAGGTCGGACAAGTAAAAGCTATATCAAGCTTGTCCGACGGGACAAGTAAGATTATTCTGCAGAAAATAAATTTAATCCAACTTTGATGAACAAAGTAATTATAAACAAAAAACAAGAAAAGAAGATAAAAACAAGTATTAATTTGACATGTTTACTTGCAATCGATAATTTAAAACTGGTTCTTTGTCAGGTACTTTTTAACAGGTAAGAGGGATACTATTCTCGGAAACCAGTCTTATTGATCCGAATCAGCGATGCGCTTTGTAGATAAGGTAACTTTACAAGACAGTTCGTCATTAGCTCAGAAACGATTCGGCTCCAAGTTTATTAGACAGTTTGGCACCGTAGGAGACATATTTAATAGACATGATTAATAGATAGATTTGTACCGCAGGAGACTTTTCGGGACCGAGACAAATTAGTACCTGGTTTTCCTACCTTATTCCGTTGCTTTATAATAAATACCATACCGGTAATTTTTTTCCACAAAACTATTTTTAAATAAAAATGAAGAAATTATTTACCACATAATTCACAAAACTATTTTTCATCATATGTAGAAAAAAACAATACTTGCAATACGGTGACCTATAGTTGTTAATTTCTGTGTCATTTGGTCCCTTGCAGAGAGTTGTCTAATTGGCAATCATACCTCATCTTCTTTTTATTATTGAGTTTGAATAAACTTTTTTCAACCTAAAAAAAACAGTATACAAATCCAATGAGTCCAATTGACAGGCCTATCAGACGGTGCCTCATGTGCAGAGTCTGATGAGACTTTTGCATTGATAATAACTAGAACCTAAGTCCTGTATGTCTAGATTCAGTTGTTCTCGACTCATATTTTTGAAAAGTATTTCCAAAGATATAAATCAAATTCTGTTCTATTGTTTCAATTCATTTTGTTCCTTGAATCAACTTAAAATGCAAAAAAAGGTTATTATTAAGATTTTTTTTGGACAAGTTACAATTTCATTCGGACAAGTAAATTTTGGTATGTACTTGTCCTACTGGACAAGTTGAAAAAAAAGTTATTGTAGAGGCCTGTTTTGACCAGCAAAATTGTACAAAACATGTTTTAAGACAAATATTTATTAATTTAAGAAAAGAAAAAAAAAAAAAAAAAATCGTGTCATGTCTCCTTTAACATTAAGTAAAGAAAGTTCAGTGAAAATGGACTTCACACTAAACTCCAAAACATATGAATAAACTAAAGTTAAAAAGCATACAAGACTAACAAAGGCCAGAAGCTCCTGACTTGGGACAGGAGCAAAAATGCGGCGGGGTTAAACATATATTGTGAGATCTCAACCTAGCCAATGTAGAATAAAGAATACGATATATGCAAAATATACAAGTGTTCTAAGTCTAGACCACACAAGCGGCCACCAAAGACACCGGTCATCGTTAATTGATGTAAAAAAGGGAGAAATAGAAACCATTTCATCCAAAAGGTATAAAATAAGAGAGTTTATCATAAATACATTTTTCAAGGCCATACATTTCACGGCATGATGATACACTTTTATTACAGTTACTTATCGGGGTTATCTAGACGGCAACAGGTATATTTTTCATTTTCATCAAACAGCCCAACGAAACATATTCCCAAAAGACAGCTGTACCGTCCTTTTTTACTGCACCTTTTTTATTGCACCATGTGCACTTTTTGTTCCTCATAGCAATTTAAGATTCGTATAAAGTTGAAGAACATTTCTGTAGATGCTTTGTTTTTGTCCAAAATAAAATTTGATAAAGCAAAGCATATACTGACATTTCTGAAATAGAGATTTAAAAAAATATTATTTCCTTACAAAAAAATGATTATAAGGTCCTTTGTGGTCCTATGTGCTACATTGTGCTTTTTTTTTGCTCAAAGGAGGTCCTTTGTGGTGTTAAAGAGACAACAAAAAACATGCTGTCATAGTGAATTGGAATTTAGAAAAATAAGTCTCAGAAAAAATAACTGTGTAAGATATTTTTTAGTAAATTTGGTTTATAATTTTTAAATGTATAAATGATTTGGTCCATAATAGAGGTCATGCATAACTCTACCTCTACCTCTATAACATGGCCCATGTGGTGAATCACTCACTTTGGCCAGCAGGTGATAGTTCATGTGGTCTTTGTGACAAACCAGACACCTCCTACCATATGCTTCAAAACTTTTACAGGTCTAGTGCTATGGGTAATTTTAGAGACCATGCCTACCTCTACTTCTGGTAACCGTGGGCCACATGGAAAATATCTTAGTTTGGCCAGCGGGGAATAGGAAAGTTGGCATATTTGCCATACCAGGATACCCAAACTCCCATTCTTTGCTGTATCATAAATACATTTTTCAAGGCCATACATTTCACGGCATGATGATACACTTTTATTACAGTTACTTATCGGGGTTATCTAGACGGCAACAGGTATATTTTTCATTTTCATCAAACAGCCCAACGAAACATATTCCCAAAAGACAGTTGTACCGTCCTTTTTTACTGCACCTTTTTTATTGCACCATGTGCACTTTTTGTTCCTCATAGCAATTTAAGATTCGTATAAAGTTGAAGAACATTTTTGTAGATGCTTTGTTTTTGTCCAAAATAAAATTTGATAAAGCAAAGCATATACTGACATTTCTGAAATAGAGATTTAAAAAAATATTATTTCCTTACAAAAAAATGATTATAAGGTCCTTTGTGGTCCTATGTGCTACATTGTGCTTTTTTTTTTGCTCAAAGGAGGTCCTTTGTGGTGTTAAAGAGACAACAAAAAACATGCT